AATTCTGCTTATTTTGCAGCCAGCCTTTAACGGTGGCCACTCCACTATTTGCTACACGTGGACGCGCCGGGTAACAGCCATGTAAACCGACAAGTAGAACCCGCCAGTAGAAATTTCCACGGGCATGCAAACTGTGCCTTATTTACGTGTGAATTTCTTTGGATAAAAAACCCTGGATGAGTGGTTGACTAGTATCCCACCACCCCTATACGCACTTCTGAACCACGAAACAGTGAAGACGCTTTATCAGCTTACCTTCAAAGGACACATCTAGAGGGCTGTTAGCTCTCAAAGGCGACTGCATTAACTGATCAAGATCACTTTCAAGTAATTCTAAGTAAAGTGAACTTAATGGGATTCCCACCGTCCAGCCTACTTCTTATGCTTTTTTTGACGAAACGAAGTCAGTTAGCAGATCCGTGGCTCTACCCGCACTGGTCGAAGTCTCCAGTCCTGCTGAACTGTTTTGGGCGTCAATATTATCCGCCGTTCCTGACCACTTAATACTGACTCAGTGAAAGTGGCCAGTAAATGTTCCATCGCGGTTTTATTCGGTTCGTACGTTAAAGGCAATCTATGTATTCCCTTTGTTGAACATGCGCTCTCGAGACAACCCCCCGCGAGCGGATTCAGTAAACCGGGTTTGCGGCTGGCCTCGGTTTCAGCTTTTTTCCCCGACAAAAACCCAACAGCCGACTATTAAAGTCTCACGCGTGGTTGACGTCTTCAGCAATTTCGACTAGACATTATTTGCCTGTGCATGCGCGTACCTTAGAGACTTCGTCTTAGGCACAAAAACCTCTTTCTTTAATGTCCAGATCTAATTTTCAAATACTCATCGTTTTCTGCACACCCGCGGTTTTTCCTTCCTTTCTTCAGATATCGCCTTCAACTTTGCCTCAGCTATTGCTGCAACTGCGAAACAGATTGAGATCTTAATAAACTCCCTGCCTGGCGAGGAGGTCTCTGCAGAACTCCAAGACGAGGCCAACCGGCGACACCTTCGAGACTACCGTGCGGAGAGTGCCAAACTCGTGCAACTGATAACACACGGTTTTCAGCACCGTCTTTCCGCCGTTCGCCGACTTCTGTCTCGCATCGCGGAAACACAGCTCCTGGCTCGAACACTAGAAAACGAAGTGAGTTCATGATCACGTCGGGGTCACCATTACGTGGCGGCCAATGATGTGAGATCTACTTTAACTACACAAACAAAGTTCGTTCCGTCTAATGGGAGA